TTTTTTTTTTTTTTTGGTGGAAATATGGAAATATATATATCAAAACACAGATACAGTCAGGTCCGGGGAAAGCCTATTCCCCTTACATCAGCGTCCAAATACAAACCAAGGCCCTGCGGGCAATTAACAAAACAAGCAAACGCCGTAATAGTATGGCCTATAGCAGCTAAATGATCAGCACACTGATTAGCCTCTCTGAATATGTGACGAAGACGAACGTGAGGGATTTGAGCCATCAGTTCCCTACATTCCAAAATCATGGTATGAAATGGATGATTAACAGAATCATAATTAGAAAGTAACTTAAAGACAATCAGGGAATCCATCTCTACAATAATGTTTTGAATACCCCAGTTCCTTGCCATAATCAGGCCATCTCGAACACCCCAAAATTCAGCACCAAGAGCGGAGGTAATGCCTATATTTCTGGCAAAACCCACCACCCATCTACCCAATGAGTTCCTAATCAATCCACCGCAAGCAGCAGCCCCAGAAGTTCTCAATGAAGAGCCATCTGTGTTTAACTTGAAATAACCCTCAGGGGGTTTGTCCCATTTGATATTGTTGCTAACCAAGGAGCTATTAACAGTTGTAGGATAGGGAGAAGTGGAGATAAACTCCATTGCCCTTTCTTTAATTAAGATTTTTGCCCGGTTGGGGTCATAACTCTGTGGCCGATAAATTTTCTCATTCCTCTGCAGCCAAATGATCCAGATGACAAAGGAGAAAAGAGTTCCCCATTGGACAGTAATAGAAGGGCTAGGGGTAGTCTTAGAACAATTCCTTTGGAGCCATAAAAAGAGAGGTGAATCCTCCTCAAAACTATTATCCCCAGGAAAAAAATATTCCCATAAAACACGCACAGATGGACAATTTCTAAACAAATGGGAACAAGATTCCACTGCAGAAAAGCATAAAGGGCAAGTGGGTGACTCAACAATCCCCAACTCATGAAGGAACCCAAGGGTTTTGAGGCGTTCATGAGATAACAGCCATATGAACTGTTGGATCTTGGGAAGGGTTTGGATTTTCCATATCCATTTCCAGTCTCCTTTGGGTGAGTGGTGAAGACCTTTAGCAAGGTTATACGCAGAAGTTGATGAAAAAGAGCCATCAGATGATCCTTTCCAGCAAAAAGAGTCAGTGCTGGAAGAAGTAATGGCAGTCGGGGTAGCTGAGATGATTCTCACTAAATCCTCTTGAATAGGATAGGAGATGTTGTTGGGTTGAAACCTTCCGTTAACGAAAGCATCAGCAACGGTGAGCTGCCTGTCTTGTGAAGAGATAGGTCCGGATAACAGGTTGCTGAGGGGGGCATCCATAACCCAGCAATCATTCCAAAAGGAAATGGATCGCCCATTATAAGGCACCCATTTAATACCTTTTTGGAATAATTCACTACCCTTTCTAATGTTATTAAGCATTGGGGAACCATTCCTAGGAAGGGAGGAGGGCTGTGTCCCAATTCCATATTTTGAAGCGATTATCTGGCACCAAAGTTTGTCTCTTTCTGAGAATAATCTCCAATTCAGCTTGGCCATTGCAACTAGGTTAGCTTCCTTGGCACTTTTCAGGCCAAGTCCTCCAAGAGACTTAGGGAGAGTCACTGTATCCCAGGCAACCATATGTATCTTTCTCTTTAGCAAGTCCGATCCCCAAAGAAAGTCACGAGTGATCTTGTCCAATTGAGAAAGAGTGGAAGCAGGAAGCATAAAAGACTGCATATAAAAGTTAGGAATGGAGGCTAGAACGGAAGAGGCCAAAATTCTCCTTCCAGCCATTGAGAAGAATTTTGTCTTCCAACCATCTAGCTTCGCACGGACCTTGTCTAATATGAAGTTGCAATCTTGCTTCTTAAGCTTCTTAGGAGAAAGAGGGATCCCCAAATATTTCCCTAAGTTCTCTGTTTGAGGAAGATCTAGGATACTACAAAGCTCTTCTCTAGCATTATACTCCACATTTCTAGAGAAGAAAATACCAGACTTGGATGGATTAATCTTTTGGCCAGACCTGTTACAAAAAAACCCCAAGATCATTTTTAGAAAAAGGCAATTTTGACGAGTAGCCTTACCAATGAATACTAGGTCATCAGCGAAAAAAAGGTGGGAAAGTAATGGTCCCCTCCTGCCAGCTTTCGTGCCTTTCCAGCAACCCATATTAAGAGCTTTGGACATACTCAAGGAAAGAAATTCCAAACATAAAACAAAAATATAAGGTGAGAGGGGGTCTCCCTGTCGTATTCCCCTAGATGGGGTAAAAGGTTCAGAGCATTCTCCATTGATCAACACGGAAATATTGGAAGAGCAAATACAAGAGAGGATAAGCTTTATGGTAGCAGGAGGAAATTTAAAAAAAGTAAGAGTTTCATGAATAAAGCTCCACTCCAGACGATCATACGCTTTCTCTAAATCAATCTTGATAATCATGTCCCCAGTGCGTCCAGTTTTCTTGTTAAAGGAATGAATTAGCTCTTGGAGGATAATAACATTATCCGTACCCTTCCGGCCCGGAATAAAACTAGCTTGACAAGGAGAAATAATGGTGTCAAGTAATGGCTTGATTCTGTTGACAAGCAGCTTCGAAATGATCTTATATGAAGTATTACATAGACCAATGGGACGAAACTGCGTGATAGATTCCGGGTTCTCAACCTTAGGGATCAGCACAAGAAGGCAGTTATTCCACCCAAGAGGCACAGTACTAGTGGAAAAAGCTTGCAAAATGTCAATACAAACTTTGGATCTAGTGTGATCCCAAAGTTTCTGATAGAAAAAAGGATGAACCCCATCCGGTCCTGGAGCCTTAAAGGGTTTCATGCTGTTAAGAGCCCTCCAAATCTCATCCATAGTGGGAGGATGGGCCAAGCTAGATAATTGCAGTTGAGAAGAATCCCATTCAAACTGGGCAAGCTGATAAGAGTCAGAGTAAGAGTGGGGCATAGATGTAGAAAACAACTGCTGAAAATAATCATTGCATATTGTACTGATGGAATGTAAATCCCAAACCCATTCCCCAACCGAGTTTTTGAGACCCAAAATTTTGTTGTGGGAACGATGTTTGATAGTGGACACATGAAAGAATCTAGTATTTCTGTCACCTTCTAGAAGCCAATTAGTTCTAGACTTCATAAACCAGAGGTCCTCCTCAAGTTTCAAGATATCTGCGTATTCAAGAGCTAGATCTTTTTCCAGGCGAGAATGGAAAACACTATGTCGAAGGGATAGGTATTTGTGAATACCCTCCAATCGAGCAAGAATTTTCTTTTTTCGCTTGAACAAGTTCCCAAAGGTGGCTTTACTCCAGGACTTAGCTCTGCTCATCATATTGGAGATACATTGACTTGTAGAAAGCTCGCTTGGTTGCCATACTCCTTGCACCAAGCTCTGAAATTCTGGGTGGTCAATCCAAAATTTCTCCAATCGAAAGGGTCGTTTCCCAATAGCCAAACGTGCGGGGTTAAGATCTAAGAGTATAGGATTATGATCAGAATGAACTCTGGGAAGGTGAAAAACAGTAGCTTGTGGAAAGGAGATTCTCCACTCAGGGTTACTCCAGACCCTATCCAAGCGTTCACGAATAATATGACCGTTGAATTGCATGTTAACCCAAGTGAAGCACCCACCAGTGAATCCAAGATCCATCATATTACATCCATTCATACAAGAAGAATATGCCTCAATTCGAGATTGATTAACAGGGGAGCCCCCAAATTTCTCGGATTGGAATAAAACATCATTAAAGTCTCCGGCAATAATCCAAGGACCCTTAAAATGCTCTGACATGTTAAGAAGTTCCTGCCAAAGTTGGGTTCTAATATCGAATTGTGGGCGGCCATACACCCCAGTAAAAAACCAATTAACATTAGAAATAGAAGGAGAAGAATGATTGCGTACCTTAACAGTTGTATGAATAGCTTGTGAGCTGGTCGCTATTACTTCCACCACAATCTGGTTGTCATCCCAAAGAAGCCATAAACCCCCAGCATATCCCTCTGCATCCACAATGTGGTACTTTGGATATAACCCAGAAGCTAATTGGGAAGCACGCTCACCCGCAACTTTGGTTTCCAAAATTAGCATCATTACCGGAGCATGAGTGTTCTTTAAATCCCTGATATGGCGCATAAAATTCTGATTGGCCGCTCCGCGGCAATTCCAAGCTATGATCTTCATTGACCAAAAGTTAGTGTTGAGTACGCCTAATGTCTCCTTAGCTAACTTGTGGCTGAGGATCATTGAGTTCTCGCTCGGCACATTGCATACCATCTGGGCATTCGGAAAATGGAACGGTAACACTGTGATCTCGTACTCCATCTCCCTCTGGATTTGGGGATGTGGGAGGATTCGGGTGAACAGGGATACCATTTTCATTGAGCCCATCAAGTGCAGGCAGCTGCAATATGGGTGGTTCAAGGGAAAGACCAGCTTGTGTGGTTTGATAAGGCCAACCATTCTGCCTATTGAGGTGCTTCCTGCGCTGAAATTTAAGTCCCAAACGGAGAGTAGATCTGACCCCGTTGGCGTTTCCAGAGTTGGACTCTGCAACAAGTGGATGAAATCCTGGGGATTCAACTCTTTTTTTAAGACTAGCGGGCTTCGCCATGCTCGCATTATCCGATGTTCGCTCCATGGTTGAGGCCCCAGGAAGTCCGGTTGTTGTAGAAAGAACATTGCTGTCTCCAGCGGCAGAAACTCTCCATTGCTTGCTAGAACCACCTGGATCCTTGGATTTGTGACTAACTCCTGGAATGGGTTCTCCATCAGTAGAAGATCCGAGAGCCTTAATAGAGAAGAAGGGGTGGTTTGAGGATAAGGTAGGAGGATGCTGTGATTTGTGGGAAATCGAGGCAATATCCGAAGGAGTGGTACAAGGGGTGGGCTTCACCAAAGCCGTGCACATAGTTTGGATGTCTTTTTGGGCTAACAAAGGTGATGCAATCTCATTTTGGTTTGAGGTCAAATAAGAAGATCTGTGGCCCACATCGGGCTTAATACTGTTCCCCTGCAAGGGTTTGTTCTGTGGGTTTATGTAAGGTACAGATGGCTCAAGTGGCAGTGCCGTAATCTTTTTAGGCTCCCAAATCTGGTTCTTATTGTTGGCCTTAGATAGACTAACTGTTTGCTTCCCATTTGAATTCAGAGGTTCATTCTCTTGTGCCGTTGCAAGTTGTCCGTTGGGTTTCTGACTTGCATTAAATGTTGTAGCAGTGTTACCGTTGTGGTTTGCACTAGAAGGATTTCGGGCACCCGACCCGGGTTTTCGGGTGAGGACATTTCCACTACGGTTCTCCTTGCTATGGCGGATTCCGGCAGCCTGTTTTTCTGGAGTTTCCACTGAGGAGGATACTTTCCGACGAGGACGTCGTCGTTCAACTAGAAGCCATGGTCCGAAATCCTTCTGTTCATGTTCCTCAGCAGCTGGTAAGTCAATGGTGTTCTTACCCCTTTCCTGGTTACCTTTGATCGAAACAGGGGTAGGTATAGGATCTTGCTGCATTTGAGAAGAATCTCCAAATTTGGTTGACTCAGAAGAGTTTAAGGCATTTGCTTCCTGTTCCAATTGCTGTTTTGAATTAGCCTCATTGACTTGAGAAGACAAGTTATGGGTACATTGAGTGCTTCTATGGCCCAAGCGCCCACATGAAAAACAGAGGGCATTGACACCTTCATACAAAACTTTTTGTTTATGCCTCCCAATCCTTACCTTTTTCACCACCGGTTTGGACAGATCTACTTGGACACATATACGTGCGTATTGTCCTCTTGTATGATGGGCTGTATGTGCATCTACCCGTAGGAGAGTGCCAACTTGATTCCCAATTTTCTGCAAGGTGATAGGATCATAGTAATCCGCTGAGAGGTTAGGCAGCTGGGCCCAGACAGCCGTGGTAGTAAATGAGTGTAGAGCTTCAGATGGGATGAAGTTTGGCTCCCATCTTCTCATGGTCAAGAAATAAGGTCCCACGAACCATGGCCCTCCAAAGATGATCTTATGTAAATCCGCATCATCATGAAACCGCACCAGAAAAAAATCTAATCCAAGATCGATAAAGTCCCATTGTCCATTAGGTTTCCATTGAGCTTTTACCCTTGGATATATAAAGCTGTAGCCGAGTGGCTTATGGTAGAAAGCCTTTATAATCAAGGCGTTCATCCAAGGAGCACGAATCCTCTGTTTCTCTGCTTTGGAGAGCAGAACGACGGGTGTGTCATCATCTGGGTCATCATCCGTATCAGAGTCTTCTTCCATATACTCCGGCACCGTAGAGAATGTAAGAGCAATAGGATTTTCCGCAACCAGCAGCTTGTCTTTGTAAGAGGCAACTCCCTTCTGGCCGGAAGTTTCATCAGAGAGTATCGTCGGAGCAGCCAACAAGGCACTCTTAAATGCTGAAGACTGTTGTTCTGACATATTGATATCAGAAGGCAGAGTTACGGTAGCGCCGATATCTGGGCGTGCAAAATCATTCTTGATCTTCCTGACGCTCCGGTCAAGCAGATCGGATTCCTGCGAAGAAGAGGATGTGCGCGTAGTTTCTCTCACTTCCATAGTTTTTCATTCGTTATTTCCAGTTTCGGTACTTGCAAAATTAATTTGTATCGATCTATCGATGATGAAATTTTAGGACCGACATTTAAGATTAATGAGGTAATATAA